GAAGTAAACCTCTGGTTAATTATTTTCAATAAACCTATCAGCAAACGTGTAAATGATAATTTTAATGTTCTGTTACATATTGGTGAAGCAATCTTTGGGCTATGACCTAAATTTCTGATTTTCCACTGTGTCCCTGTATACCCCTACTTTAAAAGATATATGTTATTCGTCATTTTTCATTATGAACCAACCATAAATGTATTTTTTATTGTTTACATACAGAATGAACTTTCGGTTTTCAAATATTGCAAGACGGTACTGCATTTATTTGTTCAGGATATCGAACAAACAAATGCGTGTCAATTTACACTGTAATATCCTACATACTTATATTTCAAGGGTAGTTTTGAAGAATAATCAAGAAAATCCATGTTTTCAAATGGATTCATCCTTGTCAAAGAACGTTAATGAGGATATGCCGTTTGAAAAACTCACAACATGTTACAAGTTCTTACAATTCTTGGTTAAAAAAAATAATTTGAAAGTTGTGATTTCGAATGTAATATCCTACTCAATGAAATTTGTTGATATTTGTGAATTTTTTCTTTCGAAATGCACATTGCTGGATAACAGAACCTTGCCATGTTCGAGATGCACAAAGTGTTGTGTAAATACTCGACGTCGTACGGATATTTGGATGTGATTGACGTTTTCGTTAATCTCCTACCACTGTAATTTCCAACTTAATTTTTGGAAGCCAAATGTGATAGTCACGAATTGATATTTAAGTCACACGTTGATGCATACATCATGTGTGTACATTAACTGTCGAATACATGCCAACTTACATTTATATGAATATCCACAATTAACTCAAATCATCAATTCTCGAAACGGTTTATTATTTAACCTGGTGAATTGAATGTTTCATTTTGATTCATAATTATGGTATCGGATTTGAGTATAATATAAGTCGAGGCTTAAACAAAGCAATAAAATTACGTGAAACCTTTTGTGAAAATTCGAACGATTTTTCAAGAATCCTCCTTCAAAGTGATACCAAAGTGCTCCCCGGGAGTGGAAATTTCGTCTTGTGTAATCAAAATAATAGAGCGGGTGGTTTGAATTTTTGTTTGAGTTTATAGTTTACATCTATAAATTGAAAAACATATCGCCTTATTGAGAGGTACATGTATATTTTGGCGATCTATCATTATATAAAGGGCTAAATATTGAGCAAAAACAGGAGTTGACACGCTTACATTTGAAAATGAAATTTCCTACATAATCGTCGACTCATGTTTAAAAGTCATGAAAGCAAGGTTGAACACAAAACATTGACCCAGTTACTGTCTATTCAGCATGGGTTCACTAAGGGAATTATTATTAATGACTTAAATCGTTTACAGTTAAGTTGTATTCCAAGAAACTTATCAATTTAGAAATGCAAATTGTTCAATTTTGTTTTTCAATTATAAAAAATGGCACCTGTAGAGAACAACGTTTTCAAATTTTTTTTTAAACGGAGATATTTACTTATGCAACATTCATTGGCATGTGTCAGGGAATAAATAGGAAGAATATGCATTTGATTCTATACCTTGTTCCTGAAGGAGTTTGTTAAGGAGCGGTATATCTTGACGTACTTTTATCATCCCGAACTCAAACATTTCGAATACTTATTTCGAGAACGCTTTGTTGAGAATGGATTCGAGATGTACTCAAAATTAGTGCGTTAAAATGTGTATTATCATCTAAATAACCACCTCACAAATTATTTTGGAAATCAAAGGTGTACGATTTTTGAGATTTTTATTTTCGAATGTTGACTTACTTACTTGGCTTGACTGAAAGGTGAGAAGAGATAAAGGAAATGTCAACTACAACCTTGGACTTAATGTTGAAACAAAGTAAATCCGGTAAATTTTATCTTAAAATTCTAGCAAGGCAGTTGCCCAAACATGCCAAACGCAAAAATTGAGCTGTGTCGTCATCATTAGTTTTGTACTATAAACTGTATAGAATGCAGAAAAACATTGCACTGCCAAAATAATAATGAAAAAAAGGAAGAAAGACATTCTTGAGTTAAGTATATGAACACATATTTCTTTATTGTCTACCTGTAATATGTAATGTTTCAATATCTCACACCAAATGAAAATAACACATTCATACCTAAATAACTACATTTCTAAATGTAGCCTAAGTGTTACTAACACAAATAAATAAATACAGTTGTAAATTCATGAACACCAAAACACTCAAAATACATGAACACTAAAACACAAATTTACGAACACTAGACCATTCAGACAAATAAATACATTTGTAAATTCGAACAACAACATAGGTAAATCTAACTAACACAAATCTACAGTTGTAAATTCATGAACACTAAAACACAAAATTCAAGAACACTAAACAAATCATTCAGACAAATTAATGCATTTGTTAATTCAAATTCATGAAATAATCTATTTTACTATTTAGTTTTTACCGATTTAGTTCAATAACTCTAATTTGAATAATTTACTTGTTTGACTTGCATTGGTTTTACTCTCTCTAATTTGACTAATTCATTTGCTTGACTTTCTTTAATTTGACTAATTCACTTGTTTGACTTTCTTTAATTTGACTAATTCACTTGTTTGACTCTTTAATTTGACTAATCCACTGGTTTGACTTTCTTTAATTTGACTGATTCACTTGTTTGACTTTATTTAATTTGACTTATTCACTGGTTTGGCTTTCTTTAATTTGACTTATTCACTGGTTTGGCTTTCTTTAATTTGACTAATTCACTGGTTTGGCTTTCTTTAATTTGACTTATTCACTGGTTTGGCTTTCTTTAATTTGACTAATTCACATGCTTGACTTTCTTTAATTTGACTTATTCACTGATTTTGGCTTTCTTTAATTTGACTAATTCACTTGCTTGACTTTCTTTAATTTGACTTATTCACTGGTTTGGCGTCCTTTAATTTGACTAATTCACTGGTTTGGCTTTCTTTAATTTGACTAATTCACATGCTTGACTTTCTTTAATTTGACTTATTCACTGGTTTGGCTTTCTTTAATTTGACTAATTCACTTGCTTGACTTTTTTTAATTTGACTTATTCACTGGTTTGGCGTCCTTTAATTTGAATAATTCACTTGTTTGACTTTCTTCAATTTGACTTATTCACTGGTTTGGCTTTCTTTAATTTGACTAATTCACTGTTGTAATGCCTTTATGTATTTTCTTCTAAGCTTAATATTGAAAGCCACTGCACTAAAACGACATGCCCAACTAGGCATTATAAGCATTCTTGCCCATTTAAGCATTCTTGCAATATTAAACACACAAACATAAGTTTGAATTACATTGTCTTTCTTTAATTTGACTAATTCACTTGTTTGACTTTCTTTAATTTGACTAATTCACTTGTTTGACTTTCTTGAATTTGATTAATTCACTTGTTTGACTCTTTAATTTGACTAATTCACTGGTTCGACTTTCTTTAATTTGACTAATTCACTTGTTTGACTTTATTTAATTTGACTTATTCACTTGTTTGACTTTCTTTAATTTGACTAATTCACTGGTTTGGCTTTCTTTAATTTGACTTATTCACTGGTTTGGCTTTCTTTAATTTGACTAATTCACATGCTTGACTTTCTTTAATTTGACTTATTCACTGGTTTGGCTTTCTTTAATTTGACTAATTCACTTGCTTGACTTTCTTTAATTTGACTTATTCACTGGTTTGGCGTCCTTTAATTTGACTTATTCACTGGTTTGGCTTTCTTTAATTTGACTAATTCACATGCTTGACTTTCTTTAATTTGACTTATTCACTGGTTTGGCTTTCTTTAATTTGACTAATTCACTTGCTTGACTTTTTTTAATTTGACTTATTCACTGGTTTGGCGTCCTTTAATTTGAATAATCACTTGTTTGACTTTCTTCAATTTGACTTATTCACTGGTTTGGCTTTCTTTAATTTGACTAATTCACTGTTGTAATGCCTTTATGTATTTTCTTCTAAGCTTAATATTGAAAGCCACTGCACTAAAAGGACATGCCCAACTAGGCATTATAAGCATTCTTGCCCATTTAAGCATTCTTGCAATATTAAACACACAAACATCAGTTTGAATTACATTGATTGGACATATCTCGCCTGATTAATCACCACACAGAAATATTATATGTATATTATACTGTATGTATATAACATCTAATAATGCAAACTTGCATGCTTGAAGTTGTGTTCATGTTCATGTTCAATTTACATCACAAACATTATATAAATGCTCGATATCACTTTAAGCAATATGTAAATATATAGAAAATCAAAAGTACATTAACAATATAAATCATATTTGTAATATCACTAAGCAACCAATGAGGGTTGGTAGATTCCATGAAACTACATCTGCGTAGTATTTCACCAACCTTCATTTATCACTGATCACCCTTTGGATTGGTCAAAGGGTGATTTCTCCTGATTGTATATATTTATACTCACTGACATAACTGCTGTATCTTATTTATGAATGTGAAACTTTTTGTTTTTCTCAGTTATACTAATCTAGCATTGGGACCCATGAGGAATAGCATACATGAAATCGTGTCAGAACTATTAGATGTTTAGAAAAAGGCACACAACAAATAAATGATATGAGCAAAAAAATATTGTAAAATTGTGACATTTAATGACAAAAATAAACATTCACTGTACAGCCCACAGAGCCATGAGATGAAGGGGGCTACTGTAACCCTCATTGGTTTGAGACAGACATGTGCAATTTGATTGAAGTGACATCTATAAGATTGTCAACCCTAATACATATAAAGGCAATAGCATCTCAAAACAAAAATCTATGCTTCAATTAAAAATACATAAAAATACTGTCAGCAATTGTAAATGTAAAATCTAAGTACATTTAATCAAAAATCCAATTATGGTATATATAATTGAATACTTTAAGCAATAGTAAATATAAAATCTAAGTACACTTAATCAATAACCAATCCACCCCTCCCCATTTATCCCCCCCCCATTGCTTATATACATTTGGAATTAAGCAAGATCCCCCACCAAACATCAGGCTTCCTATCTACTAAGAGGTTGTACAACTGGCAGAACACATGTGTTTCACGAGCCTCTCCAACTCAAATAAATGATCATCTGCAGTGTGAGGGAAGAGATTTCGAACTGAATTGGCCAATTCAAACAAATATTCAGTGTTTTTTCCACTTGGCCCAACAGATTCATAAATTTGAGCTGCGATTTCTTCTGATTTTGCTGGCCCTAAGAAAGCAAAGTTATCCTCTGTGGCAATGTAGATCTTTAAGTTAAACTTGGCTTGGTCATCCTTTGGAGTAAATTGCACAGAAAATGACTGGTATCCGTTCTTTTCCCTAAAGTCAAGGTGTTTGCTAACGTCTTCAACATTTTCCTCAGCAATCTCATATGCCATTCCCCATAACTTCTCCTGAAAAATAATATAAAACTTTATCGTATGATCTGTAAAATGAAGCCTTCTGATTGGTCAGTTCTTGTGCTGTACCAATCTGTATTGCTACTGAGATTGTCTGCATTGATCATCTCCGTCGCAATACAGAAAATATTGGTACGGAGGGGACATTCTCAGTAGCAATACAGAGGATCACACGATAAAAACGTTATAGAATGATTTGAAGTGCAATACAGGATATATTCTGTCTCGATATTCTGTATTGGCACTCGACTTCGTCTCGTTCCAATACGGAATTTCTTGAGCAGAATATATCCTGTTCAAATCATTCAATAACTTATAGTATCAGCTTTGTGCAAGGATTTTATATGCAATGGCTCATAAATTGGTTGATATTCATGTTTTATTAAAGAATTTAAATGTGTAATCTACAATCCGCACTGGCCTACTTTCTTGTATTTGTACCTGTTAAATATTGTCCAGTCTGTATGAGCTTTGATAATTCTTCAATCTTCAAGAAACAATATATATTACTTTAATTAATTACTAATTCAGGTTAATATGAAGTTTCAATATATTTTCTTACTATGACTAATCATATTCCAAAATCCAATTAATTACTTAACTGGCTAAATGTGAAATTTCAATACATTTTTCTAACAATGACTATTCCCTAGATTCCAGAATCAAAAAAAGGCAAGGGACGATTTATTACTGGATTGGGTCAATATGAAGTTTCAATATATTTTTCTTACAATGCCTTATCAGATTCTAGAATCTAAACAGACAAGGGTCAATTTATTACTCGATTGGGTCAATATGAAGTTTCAATATATTTTTCAGATTTTATTTTTAAATTGAATTGTATGGCAGAAGTTTCTTACAGAGTCCACAGATCTTATTTAGGAAGTACTTTTATTAAAGGCCCTGTATAAAGTTTAAACCACTTTGGCTTAAATTGTAGTCTTACCCAACATTATCAAAAGATTTTTTAAGTTTTTTTCACAGAACTCACCTGTGTCTTCTGTCTTGTCAACCAAAACATAAACCCATGGGAATTATTTTGATAGGATTTTGATAACTAACCCTTGGTCCATATAAAGAATGGACATTAGTTTAAGAAATGCATGTTCTGTTGGTTTATTTGCTAAAAACTTCCAATAAATAGTTTACCTTTGGGTCTGTAGAAGGTACAAGTGTAACTACGCGTCCAGGCTGAAAAACAAGTAGTATTTAGTTAATATACCAGGTGTGAGTAGAAATAATCTTGATTTATTTCATTAAATATTCAAAATTTTAGTAAAAAGGATATTGTATTTGAAATGTACATGTAATATTGCATCTAGAAACGTGGTTTAAAAAAATATTTACCAACTTTCTTTAGAATTTAATTTTCTTTGTCTTCTACACAAGTTTTGTTTGAAGTAATGATTAAGCAATTTAATTCAATAATCATGTTTCATATTCAGGTTGATATTGTACTTTTAAATCAATACAATTTTTTTGCAGTGTTCCATTAAAATGGTTCCAAACAAATTGTTCTTCATTCTTTCAAGTCATAGTGACTTTCTTTATAGTTGCACAGTACTTAAAAGTATTTAGGCATTGAGCCATCACTGCGAAATATAAAACTAAATACATGCAGAGTACTGTTGAGCTACTTAAGCTGTAATAGAATACAGTTTGCCAAAAATGCAGTTTTGACTTTGAAGTTTACCTATGGTGTACCGTTTAGCCTACCTACTATGAACCACTGGCCTATGATTCTTTTTTATTTGGAGCTTTATTTAACTTTCTTATTTTGTCTAGAACTCCCTCCCCTTTTTGGAATTGCAATGCTGTGTCAATAGCCCTTTCCTTTAAATATTATATTAATTACAATTTATTGTTCATGTTCTGCATTACAACCCTAAAGTCCATTCACTGGTTTAACGTGTCAGTAAAACCCCAAAAATAAGAAGTCAGGAGACCATTGTGCAATAATATATGGAAAATTATATTCATATTATACATGAATGTAAGTATAAGTGAAAAGTACCAGTGATAAGCATTTTAATACAAGTGATAAACTGCAACAGGTGTCCAAAGGCAGCATTACAGTGCCAATGGTCCCAATGAAACCTAAAGGAAGAACATGAACACTTGTATATTTCGGATGATTTAGTTTTTGTAGCAATTAAAGCCTGTTACGTTCGAAAATAACAGAAAGTAAAAACAGCAATTAAAATATGATAACAATATATTTATATTTTGAAAACTAAATAATATAACAATAATATAAAGGAGGTTTAATACTTAAGTGATGTCCAATCAATGATACGGCTTATTCTTGATGTTGATAGATGTCGTTGACGATCCTTGAGAATGTTCCAGATCACGAAATGTTTCAATAATCGTTAATAGTTCTCCAACGTTTGTAATAATCCAATAATATTTGTTGTAATCCTATAATGTTTGTATCCAATAATGTTTGATGATAATCCACAAATGTTTATGATAATCCACGAATGTATATGATAATCCGTATATAGTGTATGTTGTAATATATGTCCATATAAAGTCCTCAGGTTGTGTGTTTGTAGTGTTATAAATGTTCCCACAGTAGGTGTCTGTAATATTCCGCTAAGAAGATGTCCTTTGATCAACTTTGAAATTCTGCTCTATTTAGTTCCTTTGAGATGTCCAGTTATGATGACTTAATTTATCTGCTACTGAGTCCACTTTGCAGTTTTATTTATAGTGTGAAAGAATCATCTAGAAAGAATCTTCTAGAACTAAGACTACTTGTTGAATTTTGATTGGACATCTTTAGTGACATGATTAAATTTTAATGAATGGTTATAATTTCTAGAACTATCTGGATGGTCAAGGGTTAATGAGTCATTCAGTTCAGTTTTGTTTACAAGATACAGTGTATAATGTCATTGTGACCTTGACCCAAGATCTCCAATAAAGAATAGCTCAACATATACAGCAAACATACATTACAAATTAAACTATAGGTGAATATAGTAGAATATAATATGCATGTAGCTCACTACTGTAACACCTCCCTCCTTAAAAGAAAAGTTTTGAATGCAATGAAAAACTTTTACAATAATATCTTGAGTAGCGAGCGTTACAATTTCTAAAAGTGAGGTTGAGACTTACATAATATTTGTTTACAATAGTCTTTTTATGTGCAGTATGTTTACAAGTATTTAATACTTTCTATCGTTACAGTGTGAGTACAATCTAATAACATATAATGTTCTTGTAATCATATACTACAATAGTATCTACATAAGTTATGCATTAAGTCATAAATACAATACACGCAATAGATCATATAACATGTACAATAGCATACATTTTTGAGTCTGACAAACACTAAACTAGTACAATGTTTTAAATTATCACATGATCTTATGTAAGTATTTCTAATAGTACACTCTGATGTTATCAAGTAATCTTGTGACACTATTTAAAGATTACCTATAATGCTCACATAATCTAGAAACATTCTTGTAGTTCATATAATATCAATTTCACTATTTAGGCAAATGTTTTTATATATTGTTAAAATAAAGTGACAGTTATCACAAATCTCTAATTTGCCTACCATATAATATAATCTTCATGAGTTAATCATTATAATTTACAATATCTGACTCTTGAATAACATACATGTATAGTTGTCATTGACATACAAGTTTGGCCTATGAGCTAAGAGCACAAGCTCATGTTGAGTAAAGAAATTTATCACGCTCAACATACCTTTTCATCATGTGTAGCTCTCTACACCTCACAGGAGTAGTTCTATCAATGCAAATGAAATCATTCAGCACTGAGTCAGATTGTAAGTCAGATATGAGCTCCTTTGGTAGCTCCACTAATGTGAAATTATTGATTTGTGATTTCACAATATACTTGGTTTTGTTATTCCCAAGCATAAGGAGTGATTTTATTTCTAGAAACTGTGTGGCCATAGACAGAATAGTGAGCAGATATTGATTATCAGATTTTGTTTTTGGTAGTGGACCAACACAGTCAATAAGAACCTTACTAAATGGTTCATCAAATGCAGGTATAAGTTGTAAAGGAGTAATTGAGATTTTCTGGTTAGGTTTCCCTACCATTTGACATGTATGACAAGACCTACAATACTCTTGGACATCTTGTTTTAATTTGGGCCAATAGAAATGATTGAGTATTTTATGGTATGTTTTAGTTACTCCTAAATGACCTGCCATGGGAGAATCATGAGCTAGACTCAAGATTTCCTTATGATATGATTTTGGGACAACAATTTGATGTACAATTGCCCAATCATCTTCAGGGGAAGCTTCAGGAGGTCTCCACTTTCGCATTAATATGCCATCCTTTTTGTAGAAACAAACAGGGACCTTGTCAGCTTCATCAATAGTAAGACATCTTTTATGAAGATCAATGAGTGATGGATCATGCTCTTGTTCATAAATTAACATGGGTTTAGAATGAGGATCATTTTTCAAAGAATCACTATCAGAAATAGAGGATGAAACCTCAGAACTAGAAGAGGATGTAACCTCAGAACAAGGAGGGGATGAAACCTCATGAACACTAGCAGAAGAAGATGGAACTTCATCAGGACTAGCAAGAGCGGGCGAAACCGCATTAAAATAGTGATCCTGCTCAGAAGGTGAATCACCTCTGGCAATAGGCTTTTTCAATGAAGAATTTGCCTCAATAGATGACTGCTTGGCTTGAACAGAAGGCTGTTTCAATGAAGAATTTGCCTTTAAAATAGGATAAGGATCATCTTTAACAAGTGGTGAGTGACATTCATCATCAAACAAGGAGCTTAAAAACCCACTATCAAAGTCATCTCCCACAGACGAATCCCCGCTATCAGCTAACCTTTTAGCCATAGCCCTAGTAACAGCACAAGCAGGATATATATCAGAGTCCTCTTGGACAGAATCCTCAATAGAACAAGGCTGATCAGAAACAATGGGGTCTAATGATACCTTACCCCCAGCTAAATCATTGCCTAAAAGCAATGCGACTCCTTCAACAGGAAGTTGTGGCCTAACACCAACAATAACTGGCCCTTTGACTAACTCTGATGTGATATGAATACGATGGAGGGGAACTTTAGTAAAACCTAATTCAATGCCTTGCATCAAAATATGGGTACCTGTGAATGACTCCTCAGATAAAGGAAGGACACCTTCTAATAACAAAGTCTGAGATGCACCCGTGTCTCTAAGAATCTTAATTGGCTTTGAATTGGTACCATCACTTGACAATGACACAGATCCTTCCGACATGAAAGGCTTATAATCCTCCATAATATCACTATGAGTTGATTTCTCAGTATGAGTATATGAATCCCAAACAATGGGCTTTCTTGAAATGGGAACTGTAGCACAACCATTTGAATGAGCAGAACCAGACATCTCTCTTCTATTCTTAATCCTATAGCATTCAGAAATAAGATGACCAGGCTTTTTACAATAGTTACAGGTGACGTTTGATTTTGGACCTGAAGAATTTGATTGATCTGATTTTGAGCTAGAATTCTGTGATGAATTAGACTGGTCTTTTGCTTTGTTTGATGTATTTGATGATGAGGACTGATTTGATTTAGAGTCATATGAAGGTTTGTTACCCTGATAACCCCTATAGTTAGGATTGCCCTTGATAAAACTACCCTTATGAGTAAGAGCATAATCATCAGACAGGGTGGCAGCTTGACTCAAAGTTTCTACCTTGTGTTCATCTAAGTAAGTTCTAATGTGATACTGAACACAGTTTTTAAATTGTTCTATAAGCATTAGCTCTCTGAGCTTCTTAAACTCTTCAGATACATCTTTAGAGACAAGCCACCTGTCAAAAAGCTGCTCTTGCTCTCGAGCAAACTCAACATGGGTTTGGTCACTCTGTTTGTGGGCATTTCTAAATTTTTGTCTGTAAGCTTCTGGTACTAGTTCATAAGCTTTAAGAATTGCATTTTTAATTAGGTCATAATCAGAGCATACTTCTGCTGAGAGAGAGGCAAATATTTCACTTGCTTTACCAATAAAAACACTCTGAAGCATAACTGGCCATGCAGATTTGGGCCAGTCTAGGCTCTGAGCGACTTTTTCAAAATGTGTAAAGTATTTATCAACATTTTTCTCTTGAAATTTAGGTACAAATTTGAGAAATTTGAAGCGTCAAACCTATTTTCAAAATGTTGATGCATAGTAGCATGTTCATCAGTTATTGATTTGGCTTCTATTTCAAGACGTTTTAATTCAATTTCTTGTTGCCTTTTTTCTCTTTCATTTTGCATTTCTAATTCTTTTTCTCTCAATTCTCTAATTTCTCTCTCTTTTTGAATTTCTAACTCTTTCTCTCTTATTTCAAGTTCTTTGAGCTTAATAGGATCAACAGGGTCAACATGTTGGGCTGGCTGCTCAGGCAGAAGTGATTCTGCAACCAAATATTGAAGTACAAAGTTTTTAATTGTATCCTTTTTGTATGAGCTTTTGACTGACAGGCCAACATGTTTTGCAATTGCCAGAAGTTCAGTTTTCTTTAAATCATCAAATTCCTCCAAAGAGGGCGATTCTAAAAATGTCTCAACCTCAAAACTCATTTTCAATTAATTGCTGTCTTCACAGTTAAAATTTACTAGTTTGGGATTTTGAATTTTGGATTTTGAAATATTTGACTTTTAGCTTGTTGTAGTTGTATCCCGGACGAGCCCCCAATTTCTGTTACGTTCGAAAATAACAGAAAGTAAAAACAGCAATTAAAATATGATAACAATATATTTATATTTTGAAAACTAAATAATATAACAATAATATAAAGGAGGTTTAATACTTAAGTGATGTCCAATCAATGATACGGCTTATTCTTGATGTTGATAGATGTCGTTGACGATCCTTGAGAATGTTCCAGATCACGAAATGTTTCAATAATCGTTAATAGTTCTCCAACGTTTGTAATAATCCAATAATATTTGTTGTAATCCTATAATGTTTGTATCCAATAATGTTTGATGATAATCCACAAATGTTTATGATAATCCACGAATGTATATGATAATCCGTATATAGTGTATGTTGTAATATATGTCCATATAAAGTCCTCAGGTTGTGTGTTTGTAGTGTTATAAATGTTCCCACAGTAGGTGTCTGTAATATTCCGCTAAGAAGATGTCCTTTGATCAACTTTGAAATTCTGCTCTATTTAGTTCCTTTGAGATGTCCAGTTATGATGACTTAATTTATCTGCTACTGAGTCCACTTTGCAGTTTTATTTATAGTGTGAAAGAATCATCTAGAAAGAATCTTCTAGAACTAAGACTACTTGTTGAGTTTTGATTGGACATCTTTAGTGACATGATTAAATTTTAATGAATGGTTATAATTTCTAGAACTATCTGGATGGTCAAGGGTTAATGAGTCATTCAGTTCAGTTTTGTTTACAAGATACAGTGTATAATGTCATTGTGACCTTGACCCAAGATCTCCAATAAAGAATAGCTCAACATATACAGCAAACATACATTACAAATTAAACTATAGGTGAATATAGTAGAATATAATATGCATGTAGCTCACTACTGTAACAAGCCTGCGCCCTCTTGTAATTTAAAGAATTTCAGCCATGTTCACGCCCGGTGATCGTGAAAATGGGACGGAGGGGGGGAGCAGGCAATTTCCGCTAGAAAATTCAACAAATCTGGTAAAATTATTTTTTCAAGACAGAGTTTACGATTGGATTGCAAATTGAATAAGCGCACGGTATGATAAAATATGTTAGGTATTCTAGGATTAATTTTCAACCGATACTCTTTTAAGATATAAGATCTATTAAAAAAGGCGCAACGCAACCAACGTGCAAAAGTCAAAGTTTTTGCTATAAATCAAGCAACAATGGACTACACGACCTGTAATAAATACTTGTAAGTGATGTTATCATAACTAAATTAATGTCATTGCTGAATTTATAAAATAAGTTTCCATACGTAAAATAAAAAATAATCGAAAATAATTAAAATGGGACGGAGGGGGGGAGGGGACGGAGGGGGGGAGTAATAATTCTATAAAGTGAAACAACTTCACACGAATTCTTGTATTTGAAAAATGAACTCATTAACTTAGTAAGAAACTGGATGATATACCCCTGGAGACTAAAAAATGGGGACATTTGGAGTAAAAGTACTTAAAGTCGCGAAACATCTCTAATCATGTCTTATATACATATTGCTCCCCCCCTCCGTCCCCTCCCCCCTCCGTCCCAAATTCATTATTTTCGATTATTTTTTATTTCACATATGGAAACTTATTTCATAAATTCAGCAATGACATTAATTTAGTTATGATAACATCACTTACAAGTATTTATTACAGGTCGTCCAGACCATTGTTGCTTGATTTATAGCAAAAACGTTGATTTGTGCCTGTTGATGGCCTTGCGCCTTTTTTAATAGATCTCATACCTTAGATGCTTATCGTTTCAGAAAAAATCCCAGAAAACCTAACATATTCTACCATACCATGCGCCTATCCATTAAGCAATTCAATAGTAAACTTTTTCTTGAAAAAATAAATCTTCCAGATTTGTTGAATTTCCTAGCAGAAATTGCCTGCTCCCCCCTCCGTCCCATATTCACGATCACCGGGCATGATGTTAATATTTTGAAAATTATACTATGGCAGAGAAGCATGGGGCCATGGGCCCCCCCCCCCCCCAGCCACCTAAGTTGGGCACAGAAAAAAAATTGGCCTCAAAGCCCCAAAAAGTGGGCCTTTTTGGTCATTAATGGGCCTTCAAATGCCTTATTTGTTTAATTTCAGGTCAAATTTTCAAAATTTGGGACCACTTTTCGGTTTTAGGGGCCCAATTTTTTTTCTCTGACCGGGAATTTGGGCCCCCCCCACGGACATCTAATACGTTCTTTGGCCCAAATGCCCTAATACGTCACTTCCGCTGAATAGAAAAAAGTAGTATTCAAAAATAAATGTAGTCCCAACACAATTGTGATCATGACGAGTCAGTAAGCTAGTATGTAGGCACAGTTGTCATCTTTTTGCAATGACAACATGCCATTTCTTCTGAAAATGCGTTTATTTGGGTTATCTGAAGGAAAATTTCGAGTCAAGTGGCGCATTAATTTTGCCTTGATTTTTGTGAATTTCAATTTGTGTCGGCAGAGAGAGGGGGTAGTGTCACAATTGACCAATTATTTCAAAAAGTAGATGATTGGCCCCTATTGAGTTTTTTGTCAAGATGTAGCTTAGACATAGCTTTAGAACCTCAGATAGGCCAGTGAGGCCACATAAATCCATAACTCGAGATAAAAAGTCAGGCGTTTGCCCTTTTGCCCATTGACTAGTATGGTGACGTGAATTAGGGCAGTTTGGCCTTTGAACAGGAATGATATCAATTGAAATCCCAGAATCTCCTTTCGCCAGAACATTCTCTCTGACTGTCCCCCCCCCCTTGTTTTTTCCTGGATCCTCCCCTGTTAAGTCTTTTATAAGTTTTCAATAATATTCACATAGTGTATTTTATACGTATTTTATATTGAACATGAATGATACACTGTTTTTAACTAACGCTGACACTACTGATGCCTTTGTGTCCAATGTAAACAAAAACAGCTGGTCAACCTTGTACCTTTTCTGGGATTCCCCTATGATCGTGGCTCGCCTGCCAAAATCTGCGAGTAAATCCCTCGATGTATCCCATCTTCTTGTCCTTGTACGGAAAGTCTACCTTCCAGAGCAACGAACCATATCCAAACACCCACATCACGGTTGATAATCGAGAAAAACCAGACGAAATTTGTATCTTAGCAGACAGCAACCATCTTCCCACAATGCAACTCTTCAGTGGGATGACACTATATTGCAAACTCATTGACTTACCGACGGTGGCGAAATCCCTGCTTTTTAATCTAAATTAAATCAGGCCCCCCCCCCTCCCCCTTGGGTGGGCCCAGACAAAAAAAATGGGCCCAAAATATGTTTGAGTTAAAAAAGGCCTTGATTAAGGCCCCAAAAAGTGGGCCTTTTTATCATAAATGGGCCTTATTTTTTAATTTTTAGCCAAATTTTGAAGAAAATGGGCCTCAAAATTTCAAACTTTTTGGTTTTAGAGACCCAAATATTTTTTCCGCGCGATCGTGGGAGATTTGCAAGTACTCATTTATTTCGACGTTTCTTGACAGAATATGGTTAAAGTACTTTCATTTTCAACATGTCTTTGAAAATGGGAGTACGTTTGGAATAAAACGATTACTAGATTAAAAGCAATTAAACTTGAAATGCAAAGAAAATATATAGAACATAATGATAGAGCCATAAGGGAAAATAGAAAACTTGGAAATTATATAAAAATTGATTACAATCTGGAAAGATATTTAACATTAAGCGTGAACAAAATGTTAATTTTTAAAATGGCCAGGTTTAGATTAGCAAACCATAATTTAAGAATTGAAACAGGGAGACACGAGAAAAAGAAAAACTAAACAGCATCGACTTGAAATAAATGAAAGAATTTGTCAGATTTGCAAGGGGGAAGTAGAGGATGAAAAACATTTTCTTATTGTGTGTGATGGCTATAAAAAATGTAGATTTGAATTTTTTAATAAACTAAGTTTTATTGACACATTTGATAATATGTCGTATGAAGAAAAATATAACTTTTTAATGACTTCTGATGATTTTGAAATTGTTAACGAATTGACACATTTTATAAATAAACTTTTTAATCAGCGTCGGGAGCTATTTGAAAAAGGAAAAAATTAGATTGTATGATAGTATTTGTGAAACAATGCATGTTGTTTTTTAACTGTATAATTATATGTAAATGTCTTGTAATTGATTTTGTGAGGAAACCAAGTGTTTGGTTTGAAAGACAATAAAATCTTGAATCTTGTTTTTTTCCCTTTCGTAGAAACATTGACCATACCATGCAGATATACCTCTTGTGCCTGTAGAACTTCTCAAACCTTCAAGTCATAGTTTCTATAATTCTAACCCTATCATCTTGAAAAATTGATAACATCATCCAGACACTTCAGTTTCCTAAATCAATAAAAGAATTCCGAGATATTAATTTTTCTTTGAAGGTATACGACGTTAAGGAGGTTTACGATGTTTACCATGACATTGTTTCTATGTATTGTCTCGATCTAACCTAATTGAAACACGTAGGCTATTTAATAAGATCTACGTTTATTTAACATTAACGTATTTATGATCGAGTTCATGTTAATATAAAAGACCATGTGCAGTATGGCAAGTGATTTAAAAAAAATATGTTTTCTTTCAAGTGAAGTATCCATGATGATAAAAATATCAATCGAACAATTCGAAAAATTATGAATAGGAACCCCATGTCAACATTTTTTTCAAAAAATTGAACCTATTTACTCAAAAGAGGATCTCCTTTTTCTGATTTTTATTGCATGAAAAGATTATTCAACAAGGGGTCTAAAACATCTTCAAAAATATAATGGTATTGAAAAGCTAGTTTTGAAGATATCAATTTTCGGTGACCAAAATGATGCTGAAAACAATGGATAGCACGAGTTTTCCCTATGGAAAATAACATGGGATATGTGGTTTTGAACTTTAACGCATTTCGATACGCATCCCCTTTTCAGAAATTGTTAATATAGTGTAGAAGAAACTTTCGATATGTTTAGATTGAGAAAAACAAGATCCCTTTTTAGAAAATAAGCCTAACATTTTTTTAAAAGTGCTAAGGTGGGGCCGTAATCCATAATTTTTCAGATAGGTGGATTTATACTTTACTATCATGGGGACTTCACTTGAAAGAAAACGCTTATTAGGGTTGCCAGGCCCTGCAGGCTAAAATAATAGGGCGCAAAAATTGGCAAGAATGTGAGTTCCGATGAGAGAAAACAATTTATGTGAGTCCTAATGTTTGCTTCCTTGAATCAAACACTGCTCAAATTGAATGATTTGATATCATGTGTTTCCAAAATGTAGCCATTTGTGTTCTATTGTTGAAATTAAACATCTTCTTCATAATCAATGCACTCGTGTGATCTCCAGCCAGTTTATACGATATTATCATTGTGAGTGATCTCTATACTTGCTATGTGTTCTTATAATCATAGCATGAAAAGTAGGAACATTTTTAGTAAGAGTTTTTTCTCTGGCATTCAAATTTTTCTGCATCACGGGCAATGTATCTCCGAGCTTTCACCAGAATTCTCTTTGAGGAGAAGTAATAATTATAAGCCTCTCAAAGGAGTGGTATCGATATGGAGAACTTTTAACCAGTCATAAAAAATCTAAAAATTTAACACATCATCAATTTAAGGGTCATCTTTTGAATGATAACAATAAAATTTGAAATATCGTCGCATGAGAATAACTTTGTACTATCTCACATTTTTACGGAACTGAGAAATCAAGGTTTGAAAGTTTGAGGAAGGGTCGATGGCAAACATTGACAGGACCCGGGTTTTTAGCACCCGTGCTGTTAGCTCTCGAAACCCGTGCCAATAGCTCTCGAAACCCGTGCTAGAATAGTCTCGCAACCAGTGCTATTTACTGAACGAAACGATCGGAAAACCCCGGGGCCAGCGTCCTATCAGAGTATTTATGGATATAGGACGACCCATATGACCATGTTATCAGTTTGGATCTACCATTAACAGGCCCGTAGCCAGGACCCTCTACCATTGCAAAAATTCTTTCAAAACCATGCAGTTTCTCACCATTCTGAACACGTTTTCAAGTGGTTCAAGTGGACACGTACTAAAATAGTCTCGAAACCAGTGCTATTTTAACTTTTGACGGTAGAAGCGCCATAATCTGAACGAAATGCAAAATACTCTAAACCCGGGATGTAGCATCCCTTGGTATTCATGAATCGGATTAATTGCCCGACCTTTTACCTTTCTGCCAGTTTGAATTCATGTCGATAAAGGCTCTCAAATTAGAATTAAACATTATTCTCAAAATTCAAAAGTGAATTGGCTATAGCAATTAGGAGTTAGGGTCCTCATGTGTTCAAGTTTACGTGTTCGAAGGTAATTGGGATAAGATGAGGTTTTAATTAATGTTATAGTTTCTGATAATAGCTGGCCTTGAACTACATTGAGGTATTTGGAGTTGATGCTGTATTCAAGTCTGGACCAAACAAACTAATCAAGAAAGTTTGATGTACAATTTATTTATTTCTATTGCAAAGAACTATTTACATATGCCATTTCAAAGTCAACCCATGTGACTATTCATTTTATCAAGCGATTTATAAAGTATTATAATTATGCATTTTCCTGTTGACTCACTTCAATCTTGAACATTAACAAACTTTATCTCCATTTTTGGGTGTGGCTAATTCCAGTTCACCCTACTGTGGACTAGTGACAACATATATTTTGCAAAAGCCAAAAATGTATGCATTTAGTATTGAAACATCAAGTCCATTGTACATCGATCACAAATAAAGACCTATCGCATTTACATATACTCCAATAAATTAAAATACAGTAAAACCTGTAAATAGTGAACACCTATTGAGCCACAAAAAGTGTCCACTATAGGTATTTTCTAACTATCAAGGGCATGATATACAGGATTCGATGTGAAATGTATCTGAAGTGGTGCTAACTAAGAGAGGTGTTCACTAAAACAATATACCATATTATCTAATGAGCGCACAATTCCAATGAGGCAAATGTGACTATTTTATTGAATTTTGTCTCAATATTAACACATTGATTTTGATTGACAGAACTGATTGATATATTATATTGATTGATGATTTTCAACATGTTTAATGCAGATAAAAATAGTAGCTGTAGAGTATGAGAACCTAAGTGATCACAACTAAAAGGATCATCGTCGATATTTTTCTCAACATCATACACTTTTAAATTTCAATTTGGAAACCACACTGTGGATTTATTAAGAGAATATGGTAATAACACCACATAAACTAAAATGCCTACAAAATGAATATTGCAATTACTGGTTAAATTTGACAAGAAAAAAAATTTCCATAACCCCATGAAAATGAAAGCCCTCAAAAAGTCAAAAATACAATAAACACCAGAACTGCTTAATGCTACTTCAATTTTTGAATTTTTAGAAGAAATCCAATGTTTACCAACAACAGACGCCTTGTTGATCTCAGAGGTTCACTGTGTAAGAACCATTAATTGAATATCTTAAAGATCTTCCAAATCTAATGAGTTAACCAATATCCATTTTTTTATATGATAAATCCTGTATTGAAATAACAGTATTCATGTTAATTCCCCAAGCAGAAATCTTATACTCTATACCATTTTTATTGGGGCACCAAAATTCATCCATTTAAGATTTCCCTTATCAAACGACTACATGTACTTTACAAAGTTATTGCAAATGAATATCTTAACATAAAGTTAACAAGGCATTTCTACGAAAGATTGTTTGAACACATTCGGTGCAACCTTTTAACAAACATCTAAATAACAGTCTGAGACTATAAAAATGCATTAGCTATCAAGAGTGATATTTTTCACCAAATATATGTTTTCATAGGTACTATAAATTCAAAGACTTCAGATCAATTTACTTAATTAATTCTACTGATCACTATTTCATCAATATTTCAATAGCTTGCACACAACCAAAGTAGACAAAAGACAAAAGTATTTTTTCCTGTCTACTACCAGGCCATTGTCCCAATGAACATGAAGATGATTTTGAAAAGGTGTTCTTCTTGTAACACATAGCAAACATGTAGAGAGCTTCTTCATCTAGAAACACAAAGCTTCAAAATCATTCCTGTCATACAGTTTTGTTATTATACTCAACATCAAGCGGTAGTTCTGTTATCATGAACTGACA